TGAGGACACAGGATCTTTCTTAGTAGTTAGGTATGGACACAAAGCAAAGATGAAAACCACAACAAAGAGACTTTAAAGCATTTGCCACGGTCGTTCTACTGTAGCAGTCTCCACTCAACCAATGTGCTCTCATCCTTTTTATGTCATAAAAGTAATATCCACATCCACGCTGTAGACTGCACCACTATTTTCCTCCTGTGACACACAAACTGAAATCAGCTGATCGTAGCACGAGTGCGAGAACCCATAACCAAACTAACGATTCCCAGGAATTGGACGACTGGGAACTGGTTCTCTACAAAAACCAGTTCTCGATTCCCGTCCCTACTGCTGGCTGCTTGCTAAGATTCAATCGCAATTCTGTTTTCAAAGAACCCAGTGATATTCATTTTATCCTCTTATCTTTTCTGATTGACAGTTAAAAATGATCCTTTGTTATACTGACCCTCTGTGCAGTCTTCACTTCATCCGCTATCTAATAGCCCATTTTAGTTCCTCCCCCCTTCCAGGAAACTTTATTCTGATTGGCTGTTTCTTGCAAGGAAAAGGATTGAACAGGAGCCGCTCTCTGAGATTAAGGCCAACCCCTCTGAGTGCAGTCTGTGTCCAAGAGTCCAAGATTTTGGTTTATAGTTTTTACTTTATACCCTATGTACTTATGAAAGAAGATAAGGAAAAAGTCTAATATTTTTAATGTTTGTCTGTCTCTTTAAAAAATAACTTTATAGCTCCAGCTTGGCCGAGTAACACGGGTGCAGAAACACAGGAAGATACTGCGAGCAGCAAAGAACCTGGAGCCGGACACACTCATTATTGAATACCGGGGAAAGGTCATGCTCAAACAACAATTTGAAGTCAATGGGCACTTCTTCAAAAAGTAATTGTTAATGAAAATACTAAACTACAAAACTATGTAATCGGAATTTTGTCTGAATATGTTGTTTCACCTGTGAACAGCTTTTCACTCTATTTTTCTTTCTAGACCATACCCTTTCGTGCTGTTCTACTCAAAATTTAACGATGTAGAGATGTGCGTTGATGCCAGGACTTTCGGAAATGACGCCCGCTTCATCAGGAGGTCTTGTACACCCAATGCCGAGGTCAGCTGTTAAGCATTTTGAACAATAAATCTAAATGCTTGCTAGTTAGCAACGTTTGACGTTTTCAGTTAATTCTTGCAGCTAAAACAACCCATAAGCTTGCTTTCTACCACAGGTCCGGCATATGATCGCTGAGGGCATGATCCATCTGTGCATCTATGCTGTCAGGCAAATCACAAAAGACGCTGAGGTCACCATTGGATTTGACTACGAGTTCAATAGCTGGTCAGTTGCTGTCCTCTCTGCCGTTCTCCTTTCTTTTAATCGGCAGTTTCTGTTTTCTTATTGTTTTTTTGTTTTTTTTTAACAAAATAACAGTAATTACAAAGTGGACTGTGCCTGCCATAAAAGCAACCAAAACTGCCCAGTGCAGAAGCACAACCTGAGCCCTAGGGATAACTTGGTGAGTCCCCCTTCCCTGCCGCCTCCTTCCCCTTTGATTGGTGCCGAGACACGAAGGAGAAAAGCCCGAAGGAAAGAGCTGGAGGGCAGTCGAGCTGCTGATGGAAACCAGATGCTGGAGCAGCAGCAACAGGACACCAGCGATCTACAGGGGACCAGTGACACAGAGGTGTGTGTGTGCGCACAGGTGCGCGTGGTTAGATTTGATTTTCCAAATAATCGTGTTCAGCGTCGAGGTTGGGCAGCAATAAGAGTTCTACATTAGCTTTAGATTAAAAATCGCCACATCTATAAACACTGCGTTAATACATTTTTGTAAAGTGCAGGCTTGCGGTTTTTTAGAAGTCGTTAAATGATTCAATTTGTTGCTTGTCAGGTAAGGTCATTACCTCATGTGATG